TCTCTCTCTCTCTCTCTTTTCTCTCTTTCACATTGCATATTTTCAGAGAAAGAGGGAAGGCTGAAGTTAGCACAGCTTCACAATGATCTCCCACATCGTGTGGGTGTTATTATTGACTTTTGTGGTTGTAGTTGAAGCACGTGAGGTTTTGCCTCCCTGGGCGTATGAGAATCGGACATTGTATCCAATACTTCCAGTGTATAAACGTCGACCTTTGCTGAGTATCGGTATTCTTAGTGATATTCAGTATGCCAATAAGGAGGAGGCATCCCGACGTCACTTCCGTCTTAGTCCTGGTAAGGTAAGGCACGCGGTGAACGAGATGAATGCCAATCGAACTCACATGGACCTTGTCATACATCTTGGGGACACTGTGAACGATAACATTGAAGCGCATCTCCCCGCTATTGCTTCGCTATTAAAGCAATTACAGTACCCTTTCTACCAGATGCTGGGGAACCATGATTTTCAGTTAGTGGAGGAAAAGAAGAGAGATGAAGTCCACCGTTTACTGGGTATGCCTGCCCGGTACTATAGTCTTCGTGCGGGAGAGGGCGGTGCTTTTCTTCTTATTCTGCTTGATGGCACAGATCTTTCTTCGTATGCAACGAAAAGAGGCACTGCCAGACGGGCTGAAGCAGAGAGTATGATCCGCCTTTTTCGCCGACGCAAGAGTATGCGGGATTTCAACGGAGGTATTGGGGATAGACAAATGCGTTGGTTACGCAGTCAACTGGAGTATGCCAGTTCACAGAACCTAGTGGCGTTAGTGTTTTCCCATATTCCTATGTATCCACATGGAGATCTATTGAACCTTTGGAATGATGTGGAAGTTGTGCGATTAATTTCTCAATATCCCTGTGTGGCTGCAGTTATCACAGGGCACACACATCGTTGGGCGTACACAGCTTTACCGGTTGCCCATCGTGATGGGAACTTTACTATACATTTTATTTCATTTGGTGGTATTGTGCAGTCACCTTTTACTTCCTGGGGTTTTGTTGAGGTGTATGAGAACGAACTGCATGTCCACGGACTGACCTTTGGTCGTGCCTTTGATCACCATCTGCAGATCAATAAGACTGTCTTGCACAAACTGGCCACATCTGCGACTGTGACCGAATCGATAGATCGTGGGAAACGTGAAGTGATGATAGTTTCCCAATCTGATGATCCTGGTGATCGAATTCATCAATCAAATACATCGTCAGTGATGACTCGATTGGCTGTAGAGGATGTAAACGACGTTCCAGGCCCTATGGGCATTGAATGGGTTCTTGTGGCACCTATGCTGTTTGGAATGGGAGTCATGATAGGGGCCTGGCGCAGGAGATATCAAAGGAATCAACGTTGTTTTCTCGCCGGAATTTGGGCTGAAGTATTACGGAAAAAGGATTTTTTTAGCTCATCAAAGGAAAGGAATTAGTCCTTAATGGGGAAATAGTTCTTGTAATCTCCTCTCTTGGGTGTGGGAGAGTTTTTTCCTTGTTGAGTCCCCGGGCACCTTTTTTTTGCTGTACCGATGTTAACACCCTTCTTTGCTTTGTGGGTGGGGTTAGCAATATATGAATATCTCAGTCTGTGTATCTCGTGGTATTGTGTTATTTCCATCCCCGATTTCTCTCTGGAGGAGAATGAA